AAACTCGACTTCCGATCTTTCTTCGATCAATAGCTCCTGGAATTCTAGAGATAAGACAGCGACTAAATTTCCTTGTATAGGCAATACATTGTAGATGACAGAGGTGTATGTTTGGATGAGCAAAGACTCCACATAAAAAGAAAAAAATTGAATTCAAAAATACCCAAAGTGATTCACTAATTATGGGACAACCTAATAGATAAGAACTCAGGTCTGTGGACGTCTCCGTTCGAAGTGTGATAAACGTTCAACGCACACAACTTACTCTGGTTCCAAGGGGAAAGCAGCGTTGTTACCATTACATTACTACTGCGTGCACTTAAGCCATTAGAGCGGGGATTCGTGGCCGATTCATCCTGAATACTGCAAGAAAGAAAAAGGAGTTGTCCTAGTGCGAAACTGAGGCACAAGTCAACAACTGCTCAATGTCATCCCTCCAAAACATTTTCCAGAAATGTGGGTGGCATGCGTGATCTCATTTGACGAGTCCCATTCACATGAAAAACACTTCTTATTGAGCACAGTGAGGATAAATATTATATCACAACTCCTTATTTGCTCACTTCCTCTGTTCTTAGGCTGCCATCCGTCTGACTGATAGGGAGCTCTATTATCGTGCTGATGGTGAAGAACACTCTCATTCGGCGGGTAACGATAAGCACATCAGTGAAAGCGACAATGACAGCGACAAGGACGACGATGACAGGTACAGTAATACTGGACATGAAGACAGAAAATTGAAATACAGCTGACGAAAAGGTTGGCAGTGCTGGAATTCCCGTCTTGTGTGTTTATACCACGCGGGACTGTGGAATGCCTAGAATGGTGAAACTGAAATTTTTCAATTTGGCGACAACAGTAATAACATCATAGTTCGATCAGTAGTGAGATCATCTATAGATAAGGCAACAGTGACACCGAAGTGCTTCTATGAATAAGGCGAAAAATAAGCGAACACTCCAGATTCTAGAAAGGCAATCGTAAGAATCAAAGAAAATAAGGAGAACGAAGAACCATAAAAAGTACTTAAGATCAAGTTAGAGATCATCAATGAGGAATGTTCGCATCTTCGTAGACTCACAACGCTACCAAAGGCGCCATAAGTGATTTTGCATTCTGGACTTACTGTTAAAACACAAAACCCATAGATAAAGGCAACAGTGACACCGAAGTGTTTCTATGAAATTAGAGCGAAAAATAAGGCGAACACTCCAGATTCTAGAAAGGAATCGTAAGAATCAAAGAAAATAAGGAGAATGAAGAACAATAAAAAGTACTTAAGATCAAGTTAGAGATCATCAATGTGGAATGTTCGCATCTTCGTAGACTCACACGCTCTAGCGCATAAGTTTTGCCATTCTGGACTTACTGTTAAAACACAAACAGTCCTTCGTGCGGATAATTAGGGTAACTGACTTAGGACTTTAGCTCCTGCGTCGGCCTGTAGCCAGCGGTCTTATTTCTTCGCAGCCTTTGCTGCTGTGTTCAAACGGCAGGTGGACGTAACACACGAACGTCATCTCTTTTTTATGGTATCGAAGAATTTTCTGATGACGTGGCGTTTCTCTATTCTTCCTGTATAATTTTCTTGTGGCAGGCATCTGAGAAAATATTCACAAAAATGGGTGAAGCATAGCAAGGCCAACGACAGAATCACAAGTTAAGACCCGCAAAATGATGCGAAATGATTAAGTGACGCGAGTGCACTCGCTGACGCAACCATATTAGTGATATATCGCCATATACCTTGATGTCCGCTCTTCAAGGGTGATTCGCCAATCCTTGCAGGACGCATCTATGCCATTCGTTTCGATTTCTTGCCATTTGTTGCCATCTCTGTCCAAATAATTTCTTAAAAGGATCACTCCACCTGGCTGGGGGTCTCCCTTGCGGCCTTTTTATTCCGCGGGGATACCAATCGGTCACCCGGGACTGTCCAACGGTTATCGCTGAGACGAGCTATGTAGATAGTCTATCACATCTTTTACACCAGTCCGCCTTCGAATTTCACGTGCTGGAATTTTGTGCATTAACGTCACAGCGCACATCGCTCGTTCCATTGCTCTTTGAGTTGATGCCAGTTTTCTTTCTTCTTCTTTTATCGTGCTCCATGTTTCGCTTCCGTACACCAAAGCTGGTAGACATGAGTGTTAAACACTCTGGCTTTCGCTCTCTCATCGCCATTACCTAGAGCACTCAAACGGCGACCGAAAGCCTGATCAAAATAACGGAAAGTAGAAGAAGCAATACAAAATTGCGAACAAAAGAAGTGCCTGTTAGTTCACAAACCTTATGCGCATGGATGCAATTACATACAAAACACTTCCCTTCAAATTCGTGAAAACTTATAGTAGATAATCTTGTTCTGTCAGAAGATAGTGAAGAGGGAATAGCGCAAAACACCACGCTTCACCCAATACGCCAAAAAATTTCAACCTGAGCATGATCCCTGTCAATTTCTTGTGGATGCGAGTATACAAGACTAGCTAAATCTCGAAAGCTTGCTCGACAATAACTTTTAAGTTTCCCGATACTCTCAATTCACAAAAATGAAAGTGGCCCAACATGCTGCATCTATTGACGACCCACCAGGTTGGCTCGGACCCTTGCTTATTCCGCACAAGTGCTTCCAACAACAGTTGTGCTTAAAGCAACACTCTTGGAATCGAGAACTACCCCACCATTACGAGAAAAATGCACAAGATTATGCAAAACGGCGAATGGGTTTTAGAAGGACCTCGGTCGTGGAATCCCTGTTTGAATATATTCCCACCTGGAAGTCCACGAAGCAAATGCAAGCGAATGCGCCGTATCTGCCTGCACACACTGCGCGTTCAGCGGAGGGAAATCACTGTGCCTAATTGCAGAATCGAAACTATAAAACAGTAAATCAAAAATAGCAGCATCAACACCTATGTCAGCAATGGACGCTTTAATGAAGTTCCAGATCCATTCTCTCAACCAGAAGGGCTTATAGCGAGGGAGTCATCCCGACGTCCGTGCTGTTCTTTCCCACGACACGGCGCCCTCCCCGAGGCACCTAAACAGCAACATTACGGAGCACCAACAATGGGTGGTACAGCGCACAAATCGAGCCCCTCGTCCTGGCGCTCCCTGACCACTAGTTCCACACGTTTTGAATGCAACAAATATAAATGCTATAATATTTGTTGTGTCCTAAACATGCTGATCGTTCTACTCTCACGTATACCAAACAGGAGCGGGTCATGTTCTAGAAGGATCTTTATGAAAACTTTATGATGCTCTCTGCCTACTCCCTCAGATGTGTGATACGCGGAACGCGCTTTTATCGCGAATGAATGAATGAATGAATGAGTGCTGCATCCCAAAAGGAAAAACTAATGTTGAAACATTGACGACAACGCGGGAGATATATCCCCCGCACCCATTACACTCATTTTTTTCGCGCACGCCTGATTCTTTTAGAAGTTTCTTGTATTTATTCCATGGAAGAGACCTTGACGTAGCTACAAACATAGTGGCCCATAGAATGGTCACGTATGCTTAATTTAGAGGAGGATTTCTGAACCATACGAAATCTTCATTTCAATAAATTTTTCGTTTACTTTTTCTTTTTATGAATGTGAAGATTTAAATAGTAGTAGAAGTAGATACGGAACCTTAGGGATGACAATATGTGTGTTTTGATTGAAATAATCAACGTAAAATTGCTTTTGAGGTCCATTGCAGCTAGTTCTGAAAAATTTCGCTTTTTCATTGTTATTCCATGTCTTTCGATCGAAATTCCACTACTGTACCCCTGGGTAGGTTGTGCTCATTACAATTTACTGATCTGGTTTTGTATTGATCATTATTTATGTATTTATCACTCAAAATCTGCTTGAACGACCTGAGGCGGCCGCGCCCGCAAAATCGCCGCGGTCCCACGTGGCCAAAAAAGCCAAAACTCGCGTTGTCGTCAACGTGTTAAAAAAGTTCTCTCTGTGACAATTTCAAAAGTACAAATGGCTTAGAGTAATCATGTATCTGTGAAGTAGCGATCACATACAAGATCTACTTTTCTTCTTCTCCCTAGCGTTAGTCCCGCGCAGTCGCAGGGTCCGCTGTCTTTGTCAGTCGTCGCCACTTTGTTCTGTCCAGGGCATCTTCTGCTGTGGCCTTGACTTCAGTGTGGTCCTTCTACATATACATGTTCAATTCTTGCAATTAAAATTTCATCAATGAGCATCACTCCTCTTTAGTTTATCTTCTTTTATGTGATGCGTATCTTGCTGTGCTTCTTGTTATTCTGTTAGAATGCGAAACCCTGCCGCATTGTTGAAATAGCCGAAAAAGCCAATGCTCATCGCTGGAGCAGGTCCTAATTATGCAACTCCTTAAAATCTGATGCCTCCTATCTTATGAGACATGCTTCTAATTTATATTTCTGTGATTCATATCTCTGTTAATATCATCCATTTATTGCAGTTTTTTTCACTTTTACTATTGTCATTCTGTGTTTCATTCATTTCATCATTTTTTGATTATTCATTACATTCCTGTACTTCAATTGAAAGTAATAGCTAAAATAAATAAATAAATGGAATTGTAGTCGACCAGGTGCACTGTTCTACACTTCCTCAGTTCAGAATAAATCTTCCCATTGCTTCTCCATACCCTGAAGAACATATCACCTATAATTAACACTGACCACAAATAATGCGATGAATTCAGCCATTCGCAAGAAATCGCTGTGAACTCGCAAATATCAAATGCTTTTTCCAACAAGCAGAGCTTCTCATGTCCTCGGGCTAAACCGCTTCTGCACACGGTGAGTGAGGCTGATTCAGAGCAATAGAAATTTGGTCAAGCAATATTTCAGGGAGAGTCGTTGGCCGACCTCTCGCCAGAAGATATCGATATCGTTGCAGCCATGGGAGACGCGCTTACGGTACTTTTTGCTACTTCATGCAATTGTTATATTGAAAACAAAGGCAAACTACGTGATGATATTGGACGTGACGATACGTAGATTAGTTGCTTTATGGACTTCATTCCCACTGCTCACGAAACAGGATGCCAAACAATGCGCGTGACAAATATGCCCCATCGGCCTAGCAGGGCAACTTCATGAAGAACAGCAGAGCCTAGGACCCGAGAAATGGGGCGCTTTCGTCGCCCCCTTTTTCTCCGCATTGACGCGACTCTCATCGATGCAGTCCTCTTTGACGCTAACGCTCTCTACATATGTTGAACGACTAGAGACCTGATGGCTAGAGGCCTGGTCGGACTCACTTCATTACGAATGATGACTGACTGAAAAATACCGAACGCATTGTTCACAAGCGGTTTGTAGGAACAAATTTTAATTGAGGTGTTATTATCTGGGCTGATTGTATTGAGTAATTCGAACTGAGCTTCTGCTTTAAAGGCAAAGGTCGGGCTCAGGCACGCTAGAGAAGTAATTCCCGTGCCTGGAGGTTGTATGTGGGTAGCTGCACACATTGCAGCAACTTCCCACCTTGAAAAACCCCGTTAAGGCCCCGGGGCGTTCGGTTTCAATCCAGGGCCGCCTGGTCAATCCAGGACCGCCCACCTCCGGAAGTGGTGCGTGGCTGGCATAACGTGTGAAATCAGCTAGGTTGATTGCATTGATTTCAACCGATACCGGTGAATACCGGTGAATATCGGTCCTATAGTACCGAAACGTGTTTTTTTTTTCAGGGTAGCATAAGGTGATTCTCCATTACAAATTTTCCCTTTCAGACACTGATGTTTATTTATTATTTATATGGTCTATCTGCACGTTATCATCAGTTCTTTAATACTTTCTTATAACTTTACAACTAGTCTAGTTCTGTCACTCCCAGCCTCACTGAGGAGCCTCCTGGGAACGGCGAATTAATGATGTGGTTTGTCCGAGTGGGGCGAACGAACCACTCCTGTATCAATCCATTTGGTACTGAACTGTGCTGGTACTTTCTGACCTGTGAGTACCCGTAGTCGGTGTAGTACCAGTAGCGTGTGATAGAACTTATTTCTCTTAAATGTATCCAGCGGTCCCTTCGAACGTCAATTGACGTATTTTTGTGCATTCTCTTTTGAAATTATTTCATTCAGCACAACAGTTCATTAGCAGATGCAAACAATAACATAACAGCTTTCAACGACTTTGATGGTAAACTGCAACTTTGTGTAAACTTCAAGAAGTAGAGTTCAAAAGTACTCTCTCATCACTTGTAAGGAATTCCCTCCCATCTTTAGAACTACTTGGTCATTGTTTGCTCCTTCTCTTTTTCGATTGCAATTTCAATTCCACAATTGCTGTACTCAGTTTTATCTCATCATTACTGCCGTTGCTCATATACCTACTCCTTCGCCTTGATCGGTGGATGCATTGTCATAATTAGAATCCATTAGTGATAAGGACTCCACAGTTTCACTCGTCCATTCAATCTCCATCCTAAAATTGTTAATGTAATATCTTATTAGAATGAGATATAGTTTATATTAGGATGAAAACTGACACAGAGTGTGTCATTGTTAGTGTTAGCTTACATACTTGGCATTTTTTTCTTCATCAGTCAGCAACTGAATAATGGATAATCCCTTCCAGTCCGAGCAGTCCCATCCCTAGTTTGATTGCTTATATTGTCGCTTTCATTGTTTCAGCAGTTTTTACTCAACGTCGTACATTTTTTCTCGTTCGTTACACCACGTATCTTCTTACGAAGATAAAGGATAAAAAGGATAAAGCATTTGCCGTTGATCAATCCCTTTTTGGGATGCGGCACGCATTCTACTTCCATTTGTACATTCGTAGTGGCGTTTGAATGCGATGTGGCCTATACAATGACTTGCGGGGGCCAGCCGATGTACAAGTCAGTGTTTTTATCCTCCCAGACAAGTCTGGTACCAATTAACCGACCCCGGAGGGATGGAAGGCTTGGTTGGCCCGGGCGACTCACGACCCAGGATTTGATCCCCGGACCGCTACGCGTTCAAAGCACCGCCGGACATCAGTCACGAATGCTGGCGATGGGAATGCTTCCACTTGGTTCTTCGGAGTGCCGTCACTAGAAACTCTTTCTGGCCTTTTGACTTATTGCATTCACATCTCACACTTCTACTGCATCCTTCTTTATTCTTTCGATTGGATTTGTCTCTACTCTCCAAAATCGCACGCTTCAACCCGATTCTTTCATTGCGTCGCCTGATACGTAGCCGCCCCAAGGCGGACTTCTTTCCATGCCCCGCCTTTGGCTCCGCGCCACTTACCTTCGATTGTCCATAGAGTGTGTTTTTGTAAGTTTGTTTCTCTTCGGAAACTGAATCTGCGTTAAACGTTGCGTTAAACGTTGTAATCTCTAGCGATCACGACTGACATATGTGTGTTGGGAGAAAACGCAAGATTTTTCCGCGGAGGACTCCTTTAAAATCAATCAAAATGAATTCAGGCTGGTCGCGGTTTATGGGAGGGTACAGACGTTGAGTTTCGAGGTGCGGCTTTTCCAATAGGAGGTGATGCGACTATCGATGGACTTGTTACCATTCCGAGTTAGTTCCGTTTTTGAAAAAGTTCTCAGAGTGCTCTCACAAGAATGCTGGGTCATGAACCAAAGTTACGCCCCAGGCGGACTCAACTCGACTACCCGCTTCTCTTAAGTCGCGCATGAGGCGAGTTCTTCTTATAACCCAGCATTCTTGTAGGACTTTCGCCAAGCGAACTGCGGCTAAAATAGTTGACAATCAAAAACAAGTGAAAACGTCTCAGATCTGTGTCGGGCTCGCAGGGGCGAGTGTATCATGCTTCTGTTTCTTCCAGGTTTTTTGAAATTATGAAACTGTTCATCAGTAGCTCTTTTTCTTAACTGTCTATAGAGTTAATGTGCTTCCTTAGGGCTGCGTTTGCTGGTTTGCTCGGGAAGAGATTGAAAGCAAGAGCTTACTACTGATGAGATTCACTTGCAAGGCGCTGCGGAAACGTTCCAAGGGTTTCACGAAAATTGAGCATGAAAACGATCAATATGATATGGTGCTTCAATCTATAATAGAAATAAACGGGAAGATCAAAGAAGAAGTGGTGGATGGAGGCCGTACAATTCCTTCACCACAAAATGGATGATGATTCCAAAACGTTAGCTCTTTTTCATCAGTGTGACTAGGGTGTGGAGGGATTAAGTGGATGCTAATAGCTGTGCATTCGATGGATGGTAGGTAAACAATGGGGTCATAAAGGTGTGGTACAATTGGTAGGGATTTCTCATCAGTACGATTTTTTGATCACAAAATTAATCTGGTTTATTTTTTGTTAAGTGCTTGCGAACACCGACACATGGTCGAGAGAATAGGTATTTATAGAGTAAAGGAACGTTTATTCATAATGAGACAGGAGGGAGACAAGGTCAGACTTCGTATGACAGAGCAAACTGGTAGCATGTACAATAGGTTCCGTAGCTTGCTAGTGGTTCATTTCTTCTATCTTTAACTTACTCTTACTTACATACCGCGAGCGCACTTCTGCAAATGAGCTGGTTAAGCTTACAGATGGGCGAGCGACCTACATACCCACACCTGGTGCATCTAACAAAAGAGTATGCAAATAAAAACTTTTTCTCGTTGCCGATGGCATGCAGTGTTCCATAAACGTTCCATAAAAAGTGAAGCCAGGATTAGCCGCGTTGGACGGTTTCTCTACAGGGAGTCTAACTTGCCTTAATAGGAAGGAAACGGCCGTATATGTTGGCAAGGGTGATGAATGAAGGTGAGAAATCAAGAAGCAGCATCAGGATAAATAATCATCCTTACCGTCAGGAACCACCCCTCCGCTCCCTCTGCTCGAGGGCGATTTCGGATTAATGAGTGCGAAGTTATAGAAACGTGCCAGGCTGAACTAGGTTCACCGACATCGTTGACATCATCTCTCGTAAAAGGCTGTTTCAGTTGAGTGGAGAGAGTAGTACCGACACATCCCTCAAGATGGGAGGGTGGGAGGGGGGGTACTGTATCATCCGACTCGTCCTCGCGAATCTCATCGTTCGCGCAAGTCCACTATGAGCGATCCATTCCGGTCCTGTGCACGTCGTCTGCATTGTCCGCCAAGCATTTTCATCATCGGATCGGCCCACCTTCTCGGCGATCGCTTGTGATCCAACGGGATCCAATTCATATGCCGCGAAGCCCGCATAATAATTTTATATACATATATGCATATAATACTCTCCGTGCCACGCGGTTTGCTCTCGGCCAGTGTACTATGTCCTCGAAACAGCAACATATACAAGACGCACTTTATCCTGATAGAAGGCAGAATTAGTACGGAATAAAAACAGCGAAGCAGAATATAGGGAATGGAAGGAAGCGGTGCAAGTTGACGTCGACGACTGGAATTCTGAAGACGATCCCTCTATGCGGGCCCATGCAGCTGGCACTCTTCTTTTACCCCTTTCTACTTCTTGCTCCGACGAAGGAATGCGCACGTTTTCTGACGATTATCTGAGATTCCAATCGATTGGGCTTGGTCAGACTAACATATACAGTGATTAATAATATTGCTTGTAAAAATCGACCTTTTCATCGCGGTGAAACCGCGATAGTCCATTTGCTGGCTTTTAAACGCGCCACATGACCAGCATATTTTTTTACATTTATATTCCCTAGACAACATCAACAAGACCACTTCAAATTCACAGCTCTGCATTTGTGATATGTTCACAAAGTGACACTTTGCAAATTCTGCGTTCCACTGACTTCTGCGATACCGTTGAGATTCTAGACTAAGTTAGACCAAGCTGCTTTCCTGCGTCTGCTATACTCTCCGCCAGTGTTTTCAGTGAAGCTGAGCTGGTGTCCAAGGTAGTACAGCTTTAGGGGGTGTTCTTATCGGCTGATTTTTGCATGAGATACCCGTCTTGGCCAACGCTGCATGGATGAATACTAACTCAGTGGATAATGAAATAACCTTTTTTTGCACTACGTACTTTTGTCAGTGGAAATTTTCAGATCTAATGTAATTTGATACTGCTGTTGTCTTCTTCAGTGCTATACCGTAACACTAAAACCTTCATAGTTCACACGTAATAATTCCAGACATTCTACTGGAGTTCAACGAAAAGTTGGCCGGCGTTTCACATGGCATGGGAAAGCGACTGCATCTTCCGGACTACCAGCTAAACGTTGCTCAGTCAAGTACCGAGACAGAGGACCTCCCAGAACAAGTACATCGCATGAATTTTATTTGACCTGCTAGCACATTTTCCTCGGTGCTCTAGAAAATAAATATTGAAGATTTGGAAAGTAAGAAAGGTCCTTCAGGGTTTCTTCAGACCTTGACATAGGGTTTTATATAGAGCTGATATTGTTTCCACGAGGAGAGATGGATTCTCGAGGGCTCCCTTGGTCGCGCTATCGTATTTCATGTTCGCTCGGACAACTTCTTCTCCAAACATCAGCGCCTAGTCCATTCTGAAAGTCCATTTTCCAATATCATTCCCTATAAAATTTGAAACTGGAAGCAAGAATTTCACAACTTGATTCAGGAGCAGACCTCAATTTCTTTACACGTTTTGGAATTGCAAAAGTCCACATTGCAGGGAGCTTTCGGAACCTTTTCTTTTTTAGGCTACCGAGCTTGTGCGTCGTCTTCACTCCTTCATGTCCAAGAGGCGAATTGGAGGAAAAATGGGCTTTTGTGACGATTGCTACAGGCACTGAAGAGGTACCACCTTCATCTTTCGAAGATATTGCAGCGAATCATAAGATATTCTCAGTTCTGCAATCACTGCGACACTCCTAATCACTCTTCCATTCGACGTGCACTGGGCATTCTTCGCAAAGGCATTCCTAAAGCTTTCGTCGTTCTTCTCGGGCCAGTACACGTCGCTTCATCCTACGAGCTGCATATAAATCTTCTCAGGTCCTCTTACTAATTGACTAGCGACACTATGAATTAGTTTTTTTTATTTGTATGGCCCAACTTTACATGCCATGTGACTGAATCTACTTTTTGACTCATGCATTTTACAAATAGTTTACTAGGTGCAGACGTCGTATTTTTCCATTCAGTTTCTCACGCTGTTAATTCTGAAGAGTTATGACCTTGAAAGCGAAAAACTTGCTCGGTATCTTTATCTTTATTTAGTACGCTGTATAAGACACCGCAAAAATATAACAAACAGCAACAAAACGAAAGCCTGAGAGAACACCACTGAGTGGAATGAATGACAGTGACAGCTATGCTTGAACAATATGGCTTCCTATAGAACGCTCAAAGGCTGCCAAAGAGCGTCAAAGGAGGAAGCTCGCTGGCCCGCAAAAATGCAGGACCGGCTCTAATTGTAACGATATTCCGCCTAATAGTGGTTTTTGGATCTAGTAAAGGAAATTTTGACTTGACCACCTCTGGATTTTGATGGTATTTGAGTATAGAGGGAGGCGTGAAAACAATCCTACATTTGTGGTTTGATTGCTCGATAGTTTCGTGTCATACATAAATCGAAAAGATTGCGCCTAGACTGAAGGGAGGGCAAATCAAAGAGCTTGTTCATGATAGCGGCTTCAGGGATTTTGGAATATAGGAACCCGCCACAACGAATGAGCCCTTTCCTAGTAAAGTTGATATGAACCTTTCAAGAGAAGCAATGTCCTCTTTTGGCCGGGCAATGTATGACTGTTCCATTGTCGATCAAGGGACGCATATAAGTTGTTCACACTCGAATAAGGATTTTGTTATCTCTGGTTGTGAGGGCATCGAATATGTGATAAGTACGATTAACAGCGCTGTTATAAATGCAATAGATCCCTGTACAGAATCCGAGCCCTCAGGTGTACCAATCACCGTATATCGTTATTTGTATATATAGGACCCAGCTCTGCCGAAAAAATCTTTGAGTGTATTGGTGGCAGCACACCCCCTTTGCGGGACTCCACTCAAAGCAGGAAAAATGTCAAAATAGGACGAATTAAGTAAGGACTTGGAATGTTCTGTCAGTAAGAAATTCCTTCAGCCATTTGTATACTTTCCAATGGAATCCCAGTTTACTCGATTTGTTAACAATTCCTTGTGACTCACTTCATTGATAGCTCTTGTAAAATCAAGATTGTTTACATCTACATATTTTTACCACGGGACTGCATTGGTACGGAACAGGGCCATTGATATTTTTATAGTTCACCGTGGGAAACTCCGCAAATCCTCGGTGGCGCCCATCAATAGCATTTGGCCCCATTCCTTCGCCAACCTTTATCCACTTTTCCCAGCCTCTGGGCTCTCTTTGAACTTACCTATAATATCATGACAAACCCCACCGGACCCCAGTCACCGATGGTAGTTGACCTCCTCACTGTTGACAAACACAATCCACTTTTTTCCCGGTTCCAGGACTTCTTGGAACCGAGTTATGAATTTTCGTTGCAAACTCCGCCCACTTTGGACATGCCCCGCCCACCAATGAGCAGTTGGCCTCCACTCCTCCACCCACCTCTATCCACCTTTTTCCCGGCCTCTA